TCCAGGAACTTGGTGGGTGTGAGGCCGCTCGTGAGTTGTCACGTGGGTGTGTGGATTGAGCCTTCTGGCGAGACTGCGGTTTGTGTCGACGCGGACACGTACGGGCCTCTGGCACCTTTACCACTAAGCCGGGCTCTAGTCTCTACACAGTTCACAATGGCCTCCGAGGGGAGCAGCAGCAGCAGCAGCAACAGCCGCAGCCACAACAGCAGCAGCTTCTGCCCCCGACCACTGCTAATGCCCCCCATCAGGTTCCCCCGTCTCACCAGGTTGGCGTGTCTCACCAGGTAGCAGTGTCTGGTCATGTTCCCGTGTCTGGTCCAATTGCTTTGTCTTGCTCCTGCTGGTCACTTGCTCACCCCACCGTTCTGTGGCACCACCGCTCAAGGCACCCGTCCATTCCTCGCCTACGCGCTATGTCTAGTCAGCGTCTTATCTTATTCCTCCCGCGAGTCTTGCCATCGCTGCCGCCTTCGCTTGCATCACCTTGCGGTCCCTGCGTCGAGGGTCGGTTGCGCGCCTCCCCTCACTCCTCCTCCCTTCGTCCGGCCACCGAGCCCTTCGAGACTCTCCACTTGGATGTCTGGGGCCCCGCCGCTCGCCCTAGCCCTGAGCAAGAGAGTTTCTTTCTGGTGGTCATTGACGACTACTCCCGCTACACCACAGTGTTCCCCCCGGCGAAGAAGTCCCAAGTGTGAGAGTACGCCGACGTTCGACATATTTCTCATTTCCAAATTTTTACTCTATCTTATTCTCCTTATTTTCCTCTTTCATTTGCACTTTATTTCACCTCAATCAGACTACATTATACGGCACCAACAGCACAGACGGTGGTGTACAAGGCGTAACCTTGCCATAATCCAATGTGCCAATGGGCTTGCGTGCTTATGCGCACTTGTGATATCTATTCTAGAAGAGCGTGTTCCCAAAGGTTCCGATTATCTTTTGTGTCTATGTATTTTTGAGTATAAATACGCCTTGTACTCACCTTTAGTGCAACATTCTCGAGTGGAAATTCGATCCTGTGACACTGGGCAATCAGAGCCGTTTTCACTCGCGGAGTTTCAGCTATGCAGCGCGCTCAAGAAATTCCTGCTTCGAAAAACCGCCGGGGGCGACGAATTCGGCGCCAACGCTAGTAAGCACCAGATTCCGTGTATTTTTAATAATCCCCCTCGCGCGTTTTTTTGAACACGATCGTGAGTCCAATTGTTGGCAAATTTGTTTGCGACATAGCGACGACAATCGCGAATTGTCGGGACCAATATCGAGCAGTACAGAAGTAGCGAGACCGACGCGCGACGGATCTAACGACTTTGGGTGTAAGTGCGCGTCATGGCGAAAATTGCGACAGAAGCAGAATCGATCGTGACTTCACAGCAGTCGCGAAAACTTCCCAAGGCCCAAGAAATTCGAGCCCCCAACACCTTTGATGGGGAGAACGACGCTCGGCGCTGGCTTTTGGCGATCGAAATTTATTTTACCGCCATTGCATGGACTGTCAGAATCCCAACCACTAGACCATTGGGATAAAAGGGCTTGTTTCAGTAGCGGGTCAGTGCGCCCATAACCCCCCAGGCAAACGCGCCTGTAACCCCCCCTAGGATCGATCGGGAATCTCACAGTATAGCTCTACTGACACCCCCCCACACTGGGAGGCCCAGGACTGAGCACAGTGGCAAGGGCCTACATGTGCATACACCGGGAATCGAACCCGAGACCGCTCTGATACCATGTCAGAATCCCAACCACTAGACAATTGGGATAAAAGGGCTTGTTTCAGTAGCGGGTCAGTGCGCCCATAACCCCCCAGGCAAACGCGCCTGTAACCCCCCCTAGGATCGATCGGGGATCTCACAGTGTAGCTCTACTGACATGGACAACACCAGCACTTGAGAGAAACAGAATTTATTTTGCAGCGACACTACTGCGAGGACCAGCAATTGAATGGATAAGCGGAAGCGGTCTATTAAACCAAGGTGAAGCGACGTGGCTGCAGTTCTGAGAAGGATTACTACAACGTTTTGAGCCGATTCATGCAGCGTCAATCGCCCGAGACAAAATACATCGGCATCGACAAAATCCCAGAATTAGCTCGTCCATGTGCATGAAAGGTCTCCCCTCCTCTCCTCTCCTCTCCTCTCCTCTCCTCTCCTCTCCTCCATACATCCAGCGAGATGGCCTTCGCGGCCCAAGGTTCCCGCCCCTTAGGCAACGCAGCTATTCTAACCCTAGGCCGACTAGGCCAGTTCCTCCTACACGACTCAGCTACGTTTTCAAGTAAGCTTTCTCTCACTCTCTCTTGCTCCTTACAATTTTCGTTTTCCTTCCTCTACACCTCAAACCAACTCTACACCAGCAGGGCGATCCCTACCACCCCGTCACTTCCCCACAAATCTCAACTGTCAAATACCCCTCCTCACATCGGGCCACCGGAGAGCTGCACCCAACCCTCAGCTCCTCACGACAACGCCCCCTCCAGGTAAGTGCTGTCACCAATCCTGTCACGCTCTCCCGCCACAAAAATCTGCACAATTTCGTGCGCGTTTCTGCCTTGTCATTTCGGCCTCGTCCTCCTTTCCCGCGCGGAGACTCCCTTCCCTCCCTCGCCTTGGTCTTCCCCCCTCCCTGGAAGTTTGTATGTGCCTCTTCGCAGCCCACGCCAACGGATCGTCCTCCCCCTCTCAAGCTGCCCTTCCCTCCAACTCTCATCGATCTCGTTTTCGATAACCCCCATTTCATGATGCTCCTCTTACCTCACCCTATTTTTCCTCCCAGTTCTCAGGCTAACGCTTTTCCCGCCCACTCTCGGTCACCTCTCGCACAGCTCTTCGCTCTGCTCTCCCTGCCGCACCAAGCCTCGTCAAGCTCCTAAGTTTTAGGCGCCCCCGCTCCATTCAATCTTATCCTTCCGCTGCCACCTCCGGCTCCACCATTAAAATGGCTCGGAAGCTCGGCGGGCTGCCTAGGCCGCCAGTTTCAACTTTCACGCTCTCGCGTTCGGACCTTCGAAAAAGGTCCCTGGTTTCGGGTCGCCGACTAGGCACCCATTCCTATTTCCGTTCCTCAATCTCCTCGCCACTGCGCCTTAACTTAGGGTCAACCCTAAGGCTGTCTCTCTGCCAATCCTGCCTTTCTTGGTACTCTCCCTCATACCCGCCCCCCCCAAAGTCCGCCCCCACGCTCTCCCCATAGTCACCCGACCCCATGGTCGCCTGCCTGTCGCCTCCCTTTGCTTCCTCGCTTCCCTCGCACCCTTAATGTCTCTTCAGTCAGGTCGCTCGCTCGCTCTTTATTTAAAGGACCCTTACCCTCTCCACTCTATCATTCCACACCTCGCAATCATCTTCGTTTCTCTCTCTCTCCTTGCAACATGGCCGAGTAGACTTACACTGAACGAAATAATTGTCCTTATGGATTCGATATGTAGAGTAAGTGGCGTCCAATCGTAAAATAAACATGTATTCTATTGTACAAATTGCATACAGGGCTCGTGTCATGTGTTACCAGTTTGTGTAGGCGCCCTCTAGCCTGTCAAACGATGGAGCTCTAACGAGTAAGCTTTTCTCTCTCGACACCCCATACGGACAAATCCTTCTAAAATGTCTCGCACATTATTTTTAGCGCAGTTAGATCTAGTTTTGTTAGGTACAGAGGCGATAACGGGCGTAGTCTACGATCTTACCTTAGTGCTATCTCCCCCGCAGCATGAAGCGCCTTAGTGTGGAGAAGCAGAAGCACATCATGCAGCTAATTCAAGAGGGGCGTAGTTACCACCAAATCGTTAAGGAGATGGGTGTTTCGAAGTCCGCCGTCCATGACGAGCTCCTCTACCACGTCGGTCCGCAAATGTACGACGAGCTAGTGCCGTCACCGGCAAAACTTGGTCGGCCGCGCAAGCTACCCGAGCAAATCGCGCAGATAGTCGTAAGGTCGATAGTTTTATGTGAATCGAAATCCGCCGAGGCAACCGCGGGAATGATTGCTTCTACACATGCCATCAGTGTCACTAGCGTCACTGTTCGAAACACTCTCACGCGGCACAGAGTTAAGGCGACTGAAAAGCCGTCTAAGCCTAGACTATCCGAGAAAAACATCAACGACCGCAGGCAGTGGGCCAAGGACCATCAGCACTGGACGATGGACGACTGGAAACGCGTCATTTGGAGCGATGAAACAAAGGTCTGCCGGTTTAGTAGCGACGGACGAAGTTGGGCCTGGATTAGACAAGACTGCCCCATGGAGCCGCACCATGTGAAACAGACCGTCAAGCATGGCGGCGGCTCCATCATGATTTGGGGGTGCATGACATACAACGGCGCGGGTTTTATGTGCAAGATAGAGGGAAGGATGAACGGGGAGTTGTACCATTCAATCCTGCAAGACGGGCTTCAACAGACTATCGAGCATTACGAGTTGAATCCCGAGGCAGTCGTGTTCCAGCATGACAAAGACCCCAAGCATACGTGCAAGCTAGTAAAAATTTACCTTGCAGAGCAGCCGTACTCTGTTCTCCCATGGCCCGTATCTAGTCCGGACCATAACCCTATAGAACACTTATGGGTTTACTTGAAGAAGCAGCTGGTTGCTTACCCCCGCCCACCTGCAGGAATTCTCGAGCTGTGGGACATAACTCAAGTGGAATGGGAGAAAATCCCCGCGGCCTGTTGCAGTGAATTGATCGACATCATGCCCAGGCATGTGCGCGCTGTGCTCAAGGCCAGGGGTCGCTGGACCAAGTATTAGATTCAGCCTGGTTTGCATGTGTGACTGTATTTGTAAGAAACTGTCCATATGACACTGTTTGCCTAATTCCTTTCCTGCAGATTGCTGAGCCGAGTTAATGGCCATGTAGCCTTGTGTTTCCACATACAACCCTCCGGGTTTTAACCTTGTGGCGCCCTTTGATTAAGGCTTAAACACGATATCAACTAATGCACATTTTCCATCCATATATCTTGGCATGTGGACAATTATTTCGTTCAGTGTATAACTCGGATATGACCATGTCCCCTGCCAAAGAGGAGGCCCTCGGTGCCTCCGGGAAAGACCTCGCAGTTGACGATCTGCCCAAAGGCATGTTCCACCACCTCGCTGAACCCGCCGACCTCCCCGCCGCGAAGAAACCGTGCATGGATCCTGGCTCCAGGAACGCCCCCAATTCTTCCCCCTCCATCTCCTCCGGCTCGGCTCCAGCGATGCCTGCTTACTCTCCCGCGCCCCTCGCAGCCGCCGCTCTCACTGCTCCCCCAATTGGCCTGGCGCCTACGCAGGCAGCAACTGCTGCAGCAGCTCCCAACACCTCGGCCACCCGCGCAACCGCCTACGCGTCCGTCGGCTCAGCCTCCATCCTGGCTCCGGCGCTGCCCGCCTCGCTCTTCACCTCGCCCACTCCATGTGCTCCCCCCCCCCAATCTGCGGCGCGCGCGCACGGAGGCCACCTCCCCGATGCTTTCCCCCCTACGTCGCCGCATGGTAGTCACCGTCCTCCTCCCGGAAGCCGGGCTGGAGTCGCACCGATCTGAAATTCTTGCTGGTGTTAATGCGCAGCTGTGTGGCTTTATGTTTGCTTCTGGCATTATCCATTCCGTCGAGCAGACCGTTGGAGACCCCTACCGTATGGCCCGCCGTGTGTATGGCCGCCTGCTCTTCTCATGGCCGACGCAGGAAGATGCGGCGGCCTTCCGCAAGCTCTTTCCCCTCACCCTCAAAGTCTCCAACTCCCGCCCCCTTCTGCTCAAGGTGTTCGAGGACAGGTTTGCAGCCTTCACTGCTGCCAAGGCTGCCGGCGCACCCACCCTGTCTATCCGCAACGTCCCTTTGGATTTCGATCCAGAGGACATCCGCGCCTACCTCCTCGGCTCCACCGAACCTGATGGCTCGCACTGGCTGGCGGATTTGACGGACTTTCACCGCGCTTCGGACCCCTACGAGGACACGTATATCACTCACCTTGCAGGACTTCCAGTCGCCACCCCCGATGACCCGGATTTCGAGCGCATCCTATCCCGAAATCCCAATGGAGGAGAACAAACCTCCCATGCTGCTCAACTTTTCCAGCCACGTGTGCGCACTGTGCGCCAACAACCACCGCGCGGCTGACCATGAGGCTTTTGCAGCCCGCCGTCGGCAGCGCCTCACGAACCGGAACGTGATTCCAGTCGCGCAGCTGCAGAAAGCTAACGGTACGCCCCTCGCATATCCCTCCATATATTGCTATTCCACCTTTCCTTTGCCTTTCCTCTCTGGCTCCCTTGCTTTCACAATTCTACCATCCATCTCGTCGTCTCTCTCCCCCTGCTATACTTATTCCCCGCTCTCCCAGCGCTCCAGCTCCCCCTCACCCCACTCTACTCCCTTGCTGCCCCACCCCCCGCTTTTCTCACGGCGGCTGGGCGTCCTCGAACACTTACGCCCACCCCCCTCCTTCACTCTGCCCCTGCCTACCCTTTGCCCCGCAGTCAACACACCCTCCCGGATCTCTCACCCCCCCCTGTCTCCTCAGCAGCCGATCCCCTGCACAGCCACGAGCTTCCCCCACCCGCTCAACCCCCCCCTACCCCTGCGTCTCCCCACTCTCTACCTGTGCAGCCCCACCCCTTGGGACCCATCCCCCACCTCGCGCCCGGGCTTTGGCCCTTTGCTCCCCATTGTACCCACCCCACCCCTCTTCTCACCCCCCACTCCTGCCCCCCCCCGCCAACAACCTCCCCCACAGGAACCCTCCGCTGCCTCTTCCTTCTCTCCCTGTCTACACTCTCACCACCCTCCTCCCCTACAGCTCTCAGCTTTCCCTGTCCCCTATATGGCTGGGCCTTCTTCCATCCTTGCTCCCTTCCAAGCTGCCCCCCCCCTTTTCGAATGCTCTGCCCCATGCAGGCAACATCCTGGGGAACCACGCCGCGCCGACCACTTTCCGCAACGACCCCGGCCTTCTCTACGTTGGGCTGGACGACAAGGTCGAGACCTGGACATGCGCGCTCTGCGATTTCACCTGCGGCGCTGCCCTGGACAGCGCCATGGTCCACATTCAGTCCGCTATGCACACCTCCCGCGTAAAGGCTATGGCCCACCGCCCGGCAGCCAAGGAGGCTTTCGGCCCCTGGAGCGCGCAGAAGCCTTCGGTGGCTACCTTCCTTCGTGGCTGAATCTAGCACCCTTACATGAACACCTTGGTAGAGGATTTCTCTTAGCACTATTTTGGTGGTACCCCTTATTGGTCCCCAATGTAGGGTATGACTTTCTAGGTTACTCGTATGCAAGTGTACCCTTATTAAAACCCAGCGCGTACCAAGGTCGACCTGTGCCCGCCTCTCTAAACCTAATCAATCAGCAGCAGTGCTGTCGCACAAAGTTATGCCCCAACTAACATGCCAATATATCCATACCCCCACCTCTCGCTTTAGCCTGCCCACCCTCCTTTGCAAGAGACTAGGCAAGCCCCATACGCCCTGGCCCCACCCCGAGCCCTCAGAGGGTTTAGACTCCTCGGCACACCACCTTCTGCCCCCGCCATACCCTGCCGTGTGGTGCTCTAGTCTCCTCGTCTCATTTTACGCTCCCGGCAGCTTTCCTCTCTATATCGTCATCTAGCACGAGCTCAACCGTTGGAGAACTTCTCCCCCCCATACCCTAGGGAATCTCAACAGTGCGTCGTCTCACATCCACACCACAATTCGGCAATGGGAGTGTACTCTTCCCAAACACGAATATCAGACTCAACCATCCAAGTTTCCCCTGCATCCTACCTTGCTAATATCCACAGCCCTCTTGCGCCGCTTGTCAGCCTCGCGGTACGGCTCGGGAGCTCTTCGGGCCAAACCAACTCTTACACATCGGTCTTACACCCCAAACTCCAATCCTGCCCGGCCCCGGTCGGCCCCTGCCCCCATGGTATCACGCAATAGCACTATGCAGTATGGCTTTCCAGCTACGCCCCTAGAACATAAGCCCCACTAGGATATGCGGCTCACCTCCATCACCTATGTCCCAAACACTCCTCGCCGCAACTTCCTTCCCAAGCCGTGGACAGGCACGTCCTCCCGTGCGGTGGCCTTCACTTTGATGCCATGTTAATACACCTCCGAATCATATGCATCAATGTGAACGGAATCAACGAGACTCGCAAAATGGATGAGCTGAAACCTTGACTATCGCGCCTCCCCGCCCCCACTGACCTGATTATTCTCATTGACACACGCCTTATCCTCCGAATCCCCAATCTCGACTTGAAGTTCCGACCTCACGCCTATGTCCACGCCCCGGCATTGCTCTCGACTGACAGCGCTACCGGGAGGCCCACTCTCATCGGAGGTATCTCCATCATCTATTTCAACAGGGCCATCTCTCTGTCCTCCCCGATCCCCTCTTCAGATGGCAGACTTCTCACGGTACATCTCAACTATCTCCATGAGCAAATCCGCCTTATAGCCATATATGCGCCCACACAATTCTATGAGCGTCGAATCTGGTGGACCACCACACTCATCCCGGCGCTGGAAACCCCCACCCCTGCCTCCTCATCCATGCTCTTCAGGAACTTCAATTCGGTCATCCTTCCCATTGACAAAAACCGCCCACTTAAAGACCACGAATGCCGAGAAGGAGCTTCTTTCGCCAAGCTCATGGAAACTCACACGCTAGTCAATACATTCCGCGCGATCCACCCCACTCCTGCCGACGTCTTCTCCTTCTTTGGCAGGCAACGCCACAACACTGTAACCCCGCCCACATCCTCCCGCCTGGACAGGATTTACATCTCCCGAACCCTCCTCCCCCGGGTCTCCTCTAGCCAGTACCTTCAAACCTGCGGACAATCACTAATCACATATATTCCCCTCTCTGCTCGCTCTGCTTCATCAACCTCACAATCTCTCCCCGTCCCTGGCGACTGCGCCAACAGCTACCCATGCGCCGCCGCGCTGCACAAATTATTGACACCGCCCTTAAGGTCTTCCCCTCCTCCCCTTCCCTGGAATCATGGGACAGATGGAAGTGTGACCTCACCCTAGCCTTCAAAAGCTTCTCCAACCTGGAAAGACGCCGTGTCGACAACGGGATTGTGCATCTGGAGCGCACCATTGGCTCACTACAGCTGCAAGCAGCGTATACACCCTTGGACCAGGATGAGTCCTCCCGCCTAAGCCGAGCTCGGCTACATCTGGCCAGATACGAAGCCTCGAAAGCCTCCGAAATTGCGCTCAAGGTCAAGCTCAAAGTGGAAGGGCATAGAGAAATGGGAGTTTCCTCCCTCCTCTTCGGACTCAACTCACGAATCAAAGGCTCGATCATCAACTCCCTGACCCTCCCTAACGGACAGGTGACCTCGGACCTCTCCACCATGACCAACATGTGTTCCATCTTTTTCCAGAACCTATATAACGAGAGCAACCCTATTACCCCTAACCCATCCTTATGGCAGCATATCCCCCCCTCTTCCATCCCGAACCCCTCATTCATGCGGCTTAGCGCCCCCCCTGTCCCTAGCCGAAATCGGAAAGGCCATTCTCGTCCTTTCACGAGGAAAACCCCCTGGTCCAGATGGACTCCCTAGAGAGCTCTTCCGACAGTTCTCCCCGCGTTTCGCACCTGCTTTTCACTTCCTGCTCTCCCCATCTCAGCCACTCCCCCGCCTCCCCCCGTCCATGCTGACTGGACGAACCGTCCTTATCCCCTAAAAGGGGGATTCTTCTCTGGTGGAAAACCTCCGCAAAGCCTATGACCTCGTTGATAGGCCTTTCCTCCTCCAAGCCTTATCAGTCCTAGGGCTCCCCGCCCCCTTTATCCACTGGGTCCGACTAATGCACTCCAACACGCATACATGCATTTCGATTAACAACATGCTCGGTCCCACCTTTCCCGTCCGCACTCGTGTTCGACAAGGCTGCCCTTTGGCCCCATAGCTCTTCGTTTGCGTCATGGAGATCTTCCACCGATACATGTCCCTTTTCCTTCCCGGCTTTGCCCTATCCTCCACTCAGCGCCGCCTCATGGCTGTTATGTGATGCTATCACTTGCATTCACGTCTGTCTGCCTCCCATCACATGTTCGGGCGTTGCATGCGTGGTGTGAGCGTGTGCAAGAATTTGTGTTTGACGTGGTTTGGTTTTTCTGAGTGTGTGTGAATGTTTTTTGGCTTGAGAAGATATGTGAATTGATTCATCTGCTCAAGACCTTTCCGACGAACCAAGTATCGCTTCAATCGGAGCACGAACAAGAAAGTTACGAACGTTGGAAGTTCGTATGCCTTTGATATTTTGCTGTGGTGACTATGGGAAGTTGTGGGGTTGACTCCATAAGGGTTATAGACTTTTGGGGGTTGGGAAATTCGTCAAAATCACTGTAGATGCTGCCAGGTGGTTGGGAGGAGCCAAACCAGGTTGGCAAGTGTGGCCAAGTTGGGCAAGGTGGATGGCATGGGTTTGAAAGTGACAAAAGTAAAAATGGGGTAGCCCATAGGGGGTACAACCCAATTAGGGTTGGTACTTGTACTTGTTTCATTTCATAGTGCATTCATTTTCCTCTCTGATTCTAACATGGTATAGAGCGCGTCCTTCCTAAGGACCATTTTTTAAGGGCCCACCCACGAAATTTTCGCTGCCCGGAGCGCGCCCTTCTCTCCCCGAAGCGCGCTCCCCCTAGTCCTTCTCGCGCTGCCCTTGTGGCCCCTGCAAGTCGCGCGCGCGACCCTTTTTTTTTTCGCGCGCGCGGCCCGGGCCACGTCGCGCTTGCCTTACGGCCGCGTCGCGCCGCCCTCGCGGCTCTGCTGCGTCGCGCCGCCCTCGCGGCCCCCTAGTGCCGCCCACGCGGCCTCATCGCCTGCCTCTGCAGGCCCCGACGTCGCCGCTGCCGGCCCCGCTACTGCTGCTGCCGACCCCGACGTCGCACCTGCCGGCCCCGCCGCTACACCTGCCGGCCCCGCAGCTGCACCTGACGGCCCCGCTGTCCCCTTCTGATGGCCCCGCCGTCCCTTTCTCCCGGCCCCTCCACTGCACTTGACGGCCCCGCCGTCCCCTCTGCCGGCCCCGCCGCTGCACCCGACGGCCCCGCCGTCCTCTCTGCCGGCCCCGCCGCTGCTTCAGACGGCCCCGCCGCTGCACCTGACGGCCCCACCGTCCCCTCCGACGGCCCCGCCGCTGCACCTGACGGCCCCGCCGTCCGGTCTGACGGCCCCGCCACTGCACCTATCAGCCCCGCCACTACCCCTGACGGCCCCGCCACTGCATCTCCCGGCCCCGCAGCTGCATCTCCCGGCCCCGCCGCCCCAGCAACTGCGCCGCCCCAGCAGCCGAGCCGCCCCAGCACCCAAGCCGCCCCAGCAGCCGAGCCGCCCCAGCAGCCGAGCCGCCCCAGCAGCCGAGCCGCCCGGGCCGCCCGAGCCGCCCGAGCCGCCAAGCCGCCCGAGCCGCCCAGCCGCCGAGCCGCCCGAGCCGCCCGAGCCGCCCGAGCTGCCTGCACTGCCCTGTCTGGTGAGCACTGAGCTTTACTCTGCGCACTGCCCTCACCCTACTGCTGTCATGGCTACCCCCAGTGTCCTCACCTTCGACGCTGAGGGCAGGGCCATAGACTTTGACGTGTGGGTAGACGACCTGCTGCTTTTCCTACAGTCCGACAGAGCTGACGGCCTCTCTCTCTTTGATCTCACTTCAGGTGCCTCTCCCGCCCCTGCTGCTACTGAGGATGCCACTGTTCGCTCAGTGTGGGCCACACGCGATGCTGCTGCACGTCTTGCTGTGCGTCGCCACCTCCCTCCCTCTGAGCGTGCACACTTTGGGTCGTACAAGAGTGCTCAGACCTTGTACGACGCTGTTATTGCACGCTACTCCACCCCTGCCACTGCTGCACTGAGCCGCCTCATGCTACCGTACCTCTTTCCCGACCTTGCTTCTTTTGCCACAGTCGCCGACCTCATTACCCACCTGCGCACTAGTGACGCTCGCTTCCGCGCTGCGCTTCCTGCTGAGTTCTGCGCCAAGAACCCCCCCCCCAAGTACTTCACTCTCTACTACATTGTCACCCGCCTCCCTGACTCCCTCCGCGGAGTCAGGGACGACTTACTCTCAGTCTGCCCCACCACTCTCACTGTTACCATCCTCGAGAAGTCCCTCCTAGCAGCCGAGAAGAGCATTCTCGCTGTAGGGGCCTCTCGTGGTGACCCGCGCACCCCCATCTTTGAGGGGTGTTCCCCCTCCCCCCTCTTGCCCTCTGTCGCCTCTGCTGCTACGGCCGACCTTGTTGGTTTTGAGTCGGTCGGTGCGGCGTCTGCCCCCAGTGGGAGACGTCGCTCTGGCAAGGGCAAAGGGGGCAGGAGCGGTGGTGGAGGCGGCGGGGGCGGTGGGAGCGGCGGTGGAGGCAGCGGAGGAGGTGGGGGTGGTAGCGGGAGTGGTGTCGGGAGAGGAGGTGTCAGCGGCAGCAGTGGAGGCAGGGGTGGCAGCGGCGGTGGTGGTGGGAGTGGAGGTGGAGGCGGCGGTGGCGGCAGCGACGGTGGGAGTGGCGGTGGCAGTGGAGGTGGTGGCGGCGGCGGCGAAGGAGGCGGCGGCGGAGGAGGTCGTGGCTCGTCGCAGAGGAGTGGCTCCGGTGGCGCTCAGCGCCAACAGCAGCGGCAGCAGCGTGGTCAGGAGACCCTCTCCCCGCAGCAGCTCCATGAGTGGTACGCTGCACGTCAGAGGGGTGGGGGTACTGGTCCGTGCACCTACGTCTTGCGCACGGGCGACCGTGCGGGTGAGCCGTGTGGTGGTCCACACCCCGCCCAGCGCTGCTTCGGCCGCCTGACTAACGCTTGGCGCCGCCAGTTTCCTGACGCCTCTGAGATCCCTCGTTGGGACCAGCTGTCTAGGGCAGGAGTAGCTATCTTTGATCTTGACTTTGATGCTATTCTTGCTGCCATGTATGCTGTGACTATTAGTGAGGAGGGTGACTGTTACCGGTGTTTCCCGCCCGACCCGGGCATTGGTACTGCGGCTCTAGGTGCTGCTGAGGCTGCTGCTCCAAGTGCTGGTGAGGCTGTCGCTCTAGGTGCCAGTGAGTCTATGTCCTCAGGTGCTGGTGAGTCTGCTCTCTCAGGTACTGTGTCGGCTCCGCCCTCTCTCACCTTCACTCTTAACTCAGGGGCGTCTCGCTCCTTCTTTCGAGACCGCACCACACTCATGCCGCTTAGTCGGCCAGTGGCGGTCTCCCTGGCGGACCCCTCTGGGGGTCCTGTTCTGGCTCGCTACTCTACTGTCCTGCCATGCCCTGCGGTCCCGTCTGGCGCCCTGTCCGGTCTCTACCTCCCCTCGTTCTCTACGAACTTGGTGGCGGGTGCTGACCTACAGGATGCAGGGGTCGACCAGTTCACCCCTGCACGCCGACGGGACACCCACTGCACGGACGCGGACACAGGTCGACACTTGACCACGTTCACACGTGGGCCGGGGTCGAGCCTGTACACACTCACTGTTCCGTCTCCTTCTCCTGCGTCTGGTCAGGTAGCTGCGTCGGGTCAGGTGTTTGCTGCAGCGTCCAGGTCTGGTCCTGAGTCTGCCCCCTGCTCGTGTCGCCTCCTGTCCCACGAGACCCTCCTGTGGCACCACAGGATGGGTCACCCCTCCCTGCCTCGTCTCCGGGGCATGGCCTCTCGCCTTCTTGTCTCTGGCCTTCCCCGGTCCCTCCCTCCCCTTCCTCCGGGGCCTGGCCCTCCCTGTGTCCCCTGTGTCGAGGGTCGACTGCGGGCTACCCCTCACTCCTCCCCGTTTCCTCCGACGGAGGCCCCGATGCAGACGCTTCACATGGACGTGTGGGGCCCAGCCCACGTCCGTGGACAGGGTCACGAGCGCTACTTCCTGCTGGTGGTTGACGACTACTCGCGTTACACCACAGTCTTCCCCTTGCGCAGCAAGGGTGAGGTCACTGAGGTGTTGATCGACTGGATCCGCGCAGCTCGTCTCCAGCTCAGGCGGAGCTTCGGCTCGGACTTTCCTGTTTTGCGTTTGCACTCGGACAGAGGCGGAGAGTTCTCCTCCGGCCTTCTGCGAGCCTACTGTCAGGCACGAGGCATCCGCCAGACCTTCACGCTTCCGGACTCTCCACAGCAGAATGGGATTGCTGAGCGCCGCATCGGCATTGTCATGGACGTCGCCCGTACGTCCATGGTGCATGCGGCTGCCCCCCATTTTCTGTGGCCGTTTGCGGTTCGGTACGCCGCGCATCAGATCAACCTTCAGCCGAGGGTCTCCAGACCGGAGACCTCCCCAGCTTTGCTGTGGACGGGGAAGGTTGGCGATGCGTCGGCGTTCCGTGTCTGGGGATCTCGGGCGTTTGTCCGCGACTTGTCTGCGGACAAGCTGTCCCCTCGTGCTGCTCCTTGCGTCTTCCTGAGTTTCCCCCCTGACGCACCTGGGTGGCAGTTTTACCACCCCACCTCTCGTCGTGTTCTGTCCTCCCAAGACGTCACGTTCGACGAGTCGGTTCCCTTCTACCGGCTCTTCCCCTACCGTACTCCGTCCCTCCCCCCCCCCGCCCCTCTTCCTGGTCCCAGGTCCCCCCCCGGTAGACCCCCTCCCCCCTCAGGGTCCTGCCGCTTCAGGTGTGTCTCAGGTAGACGCGGTCGAGCCTGTCGAGGTCACTGGTGACTCTGGTGCTGCTGCGGGTGCGGAGCCTCGGGGTGCTGAGAGTGGGGGTGCGGAGACTGGGGGTGCTGAGCCTGGGGGTGCTGAGACTGGGGGTGCTGAGACTGGGGGTGCTGAGCCTGGGGGTACTGAGCCTGGGGGTGGTGCGACTGGGGGTGCTGAGCCTGGGGGTGCTGTGCCTGGGGGTGCTGAGCCTGGGGGTTCTGCGTCTGGGAGTGCTGCGCCTGCTGCTTCTGTTCGTGGTGGTTCTCCAAACCGTTCTTCGCGCCGCGAGCCGCTCTCTCCTCTGGAGCTGCGTGAGTGGTTTGCCCGGCGCTGGAGGGGAGCTGCTGGAGCCGGGGGTCCTGCGGGTGCTGGAGGTTCCGTTGCTGCCGAGGGAGCTGGTACCACGGGTCCCGGAGGTGCTCGTACTGAGGGTACTGGAGCTGCCAGGCCCGGGGGTGCCTTTCGGGCTGGAGCTGCTGCAGGTGCTGGCGCTGAGACTACGACTGTCGGTCCTACTGCGGGTACTTCTGCAGCTGCTGGTGGTGCTGGAGTTGGAGCTGCTACTGGTGCTGGTGCTGCCTCTGGAGGTGTTGGTGCTGTCCCTGCTGTCTCTGGCGGTGCTGCGCGGCCTCGGCCGTACTTCGTTCCGCTCCTTCAGCAGGTTCTTGGTCTCCCGCCTTCCACTGGTCCTTCTCCTCCCGTAGAGTGTCCGCAGCCTGTCCCGTCACGGTCACAGTTACAGCCCGCCTCTCCCCTGCCTTCTCCTTCTCCCTACACTGGTCCTACTGGACGTCTTGCTGAGCGTCGTGAGCCTGCGTCCCGCCCTGTGTCGCCAGTCCGAGCTGCTCGCACTAGTGGTTGCGCTTCGCGTCAGCGTCCTCCTCCTGTCCCTGGCACGCACCAGATGTCTCTGCGTCCGTCCACTGCTCCTCTGCGTGCCCATTTGCCTTCTCCTCCTCAGTCTTCTCTTCCTACTCTTGCCGACCCGGAGTCGGACTCTCACCGTGCTGCCAGTCCTACTGTCACGCGTCTTCTTGCTACTCTTGTCACTGACCCTTCCTTTGAGTCCGCTGCTGCGTCTGCCCTTGTTGCTGAGCTGGTCGACTTTGCTGCTGCGTGTCGTCTGGACTACGCTGCCAGTCTTGTTGCTGAGTCTGTTGAGTTTGCTGAGTCTGCGTCTGCTGCGTCTGCGTCTGCCTGTCCTCCGTCCGTCGGGGGTGACTGTGCTCTTGGCACGGACGTCCTTGAGGACAGGCAGGAGGAGTTCCAGTGCTTTGCCGCCGCTTTGCCCCATCTCGTGTCCATGCTTGTTGCCCCTGAGGGAGACCCGGATGCTCTAGACATCCCGACCCCACGCTCTTACGCAGAGGTGATGGCCGGTCCCTACTCCTCTCAGTGGCAGTCAGCCATGGACGCAGAGATGGCTTCCTGGAAGTCCACAGGCACCTACGTTGACGATGTTCCCCCTCCTGGGGCGAACATTGTCAGTGGCATGTGGATCTTCAGGGTGAAGCGGCCGCCGGGTTCTCCGCCTGTCTTCAAGGCGCGCTACGTGGCTCGTGGCCTCAGTCAGCGACAGGGAGTCGACTTCTTTCAGACCTTCTCCCCGACCCCGAAGATGACCACTCTTCGGGTTCTACTGCACGTCGCTGCTCAGCGTGACTACGAGCTACACTCTCTTGACTTCAGCACTACTTTCCTGCAGGGCCGCCTGCACGAGGAGATCTGGCTGCGCCGCCCTCCTGGCTTCACTGGGTCGTTCCCTCCTGGTACCCAGTGGAGCCTCCGGCGGCCAGTCTACAGTCTCCGCCAGGCGCCGCGTGAGTGGCACGACATACTGAGGACTACACTTGCGGCTCTTGGGTTTGCTCCTTCTACTGCTGACCCGTCGCTGTTTCTGCGCACCGACACCTCGCTGCCGCCGTTCTACATCCTCGTGTACGTCGACGACTGTCAGAATATTATCTTATGTTCTAGCCTGTAGTGGGGTGCTCTATAGCGAGTAGAACCCTTCTAGGGTTTGCTATTTGTATCCCCATTTCTGCTAGTTCAACCCTCCTTCTTTCTTCAAACTTTGTCATGCTATCAGAGCAGGTCGATCCCCTTGGATCGATCGTGTGGGTGGGTTACCACCTCGCTTCCGCTGCTACTTTTTCCTCCCGCCGTGCGCCCCGAGGCGCGCGGCGGTTTTTCTGCCCGCCGTGCGCCCCGAGGCGCGCGGCGGTTCTCTGCCCGCTGTGCGCCCCGAGGCGCGCGGCGGGCGTCTGCCTCGCGGCGTTCACCGCGTTCCGCTCTGGAGGCGTCGCGACGGGCGACGGGGACCCGTCGCGGCCCCGCCGCCCTACTCCGGTCGCGGCCCCGCCACCTTCAGTCGCGGCCCCGCCACAGACTCGTCGCGGCCCCGCCACCTCCGGTCGCGGCTCTACCGCCTCGCGTCGCGGCCCAGCCGCCTCCGGTCGCGGCCCCGCCAACTCCGGTCGCGGCCCCGCCAATTCCGGTCGCGGCCCCGCCAACTCCGGTCGTGGCCCCGCCACCGACCCGTCGCGGCCCCGCCACCGACCCGTCGCGGCCCCGCCGCCCCACTTCGTGGCCCCGCCGCCCCACTTCGCGCCCCCCCCCCCCCCCCCCCCCTCCTCCCCCCCCCCCCATTTCCCGTCGTCTGTCGTGGCGACCTGAGGGGCGAGCTGTGGGGTGGCGGGTATGGGGGTGGCCGGTGTGCTTTCCTCCCTTTGCTCCTCCTCCTCCTTCGTCTCCCACTGCTGCAGCTGTCGCTGAGGGGGGTGGTTGTGTGGGAGACTGGGGTTTAGGGTTTAAGGGGGGTACGTGGGAGTGGAGCTAGCGGTGTAGCAGCGGGTGTGTATCAGGGGGGTGGGACTGTGTGCGGGAGGATGAGCGGAGGTTGCCAGTTTGTCGTCAACAGCACCTGTAGTCCGGGGCGATGTCCCGGTAGCCCAGTGAGCTAGACTTCTACACCAACCGCCCGTGGGTCCGTTGCCCGTCTGCCGCTACTTGAGCCGCGGGGCCTGTTACTCCTGTAGTCCGGGCGCTGTCCAGTAGCCGCTGTGCCAGTCTGCCTCCTGTTGCCCGTGTGTCTGCAGCTTCAGCCGTCGCCTCCTATCTCCTCTCCCCTCACTCTCTCTCCTCCTCCTCACTTGCCCGTTGTGACTACCACTAGCTTTGCTCATAATTGTGAACTCTAAACTATTTCTTCTTGAACTTGTGCTCAGATTGTGTGGTGACATTGTGATCCACCCTGAGCTTGTACTGCTTTGCCTGCTCTGCTGATTACACCCCACTTTGGCTATGGGGGTGTGTCAGAATATTATCTTATGTTCTAGCCTGTAGTGGGGTGCTCTATAGCGATTACAACCCTTCTAGGGTTTGCTATTTGTATCCCCATTTCTGCTAGTTCAACCCTCCTTCTATCTTCAAACTTTGTCAACGACTTGGTCTTTGCCACTGCGGACACTGCCGCACTCGCCCACGTGAAGTCCGAGCTGCAGAAGAGACACACGTGCACAGACCTGGGTGAACTGACAAGCTATCTTGGCTTGCGGATCACCCGGGACAGAGCACGCCGCACCATTACCCTGACTCAGTCACACATGGTGCAGCAGGTCCTTCAGCGCTTCGGCTTCACGTACTTCTCGCCTCAGTCCACTCCTCTGCCTACGGGACACTCGCTCTCAGCTCTGCCTTCGGATGAGTCCGTAGAGTCGAGTGGTCCGTATCCAGAGCTTGTGGGCTGCCTCATGTACCTGATGACTTGCACTCGACCTGACCTCGCATACCCTCTCAGCATCTTAGCACGCTATGTTGCTCCCGGCCATCACCGGAAGGAGCACATGGATGCAGCTAAGAGGGTGTTGCGCTACTTGTGCAGTACGTCGGGCATGGGGCTAGTGCTTGGAGGGCGTGAGCGGCCTGTGCTCACTGGGCACTCAGACGCTTCTTGGGCTAACGACCAGGCTACTCAGCGGTCGTCTCAGGGTTACACCTTCAGTCTTGGCTCTGGCTCTGTCTCTTGGCGCTCTACTTGCTCTTCTTCGGTTCTCAGCTCCAGCTGTGAGGCTGAGATCTACGCCACAGCCATGGCTGCCCAGGAGCTTCGCTGGCTCACCTACCTGCTGACTGACCTTGGAGAGCGGCCTCGTTCTCCTCCAGTGCTGTACGTCGACAACAAGGCAACCATTGCCTTGTGTGAGGAGCACAGACTGGAGCACAGGACGAAACACATTGCTCTGCGCTACTTCCTTGCTCGAGAGCTGCAGCAGCGTGGTCAGCTTCGCCTGCGTTTCGTGGCCACTGAGGCCAACACTGCTGATGTGTTCACCAAGGCACTTCCGCCTCGTGACCATCAGCGCTTTTGCACTCTGCTAGGCCTTGTGCCTACTGGGCCTCACTTGCTTACCTCTTGACCTTGCTTGTACTGCTGCATATATATATATGCTCTGCTGCATGTGAACTGGCCTTATGGCCTTGACCTTGTGCTCGGAATTTGTGTGGTATCCTTGAGATCCACCCTGAGCTTGCTTTGCTTTGCTTTGCTTTGCTTGACTGGTCTTGTGACCCCTTGCTCTCCCCCACTTTGCCTATGGGGGTGTGTCAGATGATTATATTACTGATGCATATATCTAGGCTGTAGTGGGGTAGCCCATAGGGGGTACAACCCAATTAGGGTTGGTACTTGTACTTGTTTCATTTCATAGTGCATTCATTTTCCTCTCTGATTCTAACACTTTCCTCCTCCAAGCCTTATCAGTCCTAGAGCTCCCCGCCCCCTTTATCCACTGGGTCCGACTAATGCACTCCAACACGCATACATGCATTTCGATTAACAACATGCTCGGTCCCACCTTTCCCGTCCGCACTCGTGTTCGACAAGGCTGCCCTTTGGCCCCATAGCTCTTCGTTTGCGTCATGGAGATCTTCCACCGATACATGTCCCTTTTCCTTCCCGGCTTTGCCCTATCCTCCACTCAGCGCCGCCTCATGGCTGTTATGTGATGCTATCACTTGCATTCACGTCTGTCTGCCTCCCATCACATGTTCGGGCGTTGCATGCGTGGTGTGAGCGTGTGCAAGAATTTGTGTTTGACGTGGTTTGGTTTTTCTGAGTGTGTGTGAATGTTTTTTGGCTTGAGAAGATATGTGAATTGACTCATCTGCTCAAGACCTTTCCGACGAACTAAGTATCGCTTCAATCGGAGCACGAACAAGAAAGTTACGAACGTTGGAAGTTCGTATGCCTTTTATATTTTGCTGTGGTGACTATGGGAAGTTGTGGGGTTGACTCCATAAGGGTTATAGACTTTTGGGGGTTGGGAAATTCGTCAAAATCACTGTAGATGCTGCCAGGTGGTTGGGAGGAGCCAAACCAGGTTGGCAAGTGTGGCCAAGTTGGGCAAGGTGGATGGCATGGGTTTGAAAGTGACAAAAGTAAAAATGGGGTTCCTATAGGGAAGGGATTTGGTGTGCTTATGGGGTTTCCTTGGTTGGGGACTCCTTGTGGATCTTCCCTCTCGTCCTCCTCTTCCCTCCCACCTGATTAATTGCCACTCTAACTTCTTTGTGTGGTAATTGTGAGACTCTTATCATTGAGTTAAGCTCGTGTCTCATATTTAACAGTGTTGAACACTTGGTTGGGAGAGTAAGGTCCTGATTGGTTTACGAGTGACGATTTTTTTTACGAGCGGGGGAAATATATGGGCGAAGTTCGTAAGTGTTGAATCAACACAAGAGCTCAGGGGCAGGTTTGGGTCACTTCCGAACTTCTTGCGGGACAGGTTTGGAAAGTTTGCACTTTGTGCGACCAACACTGACGACGGAGACACAGATTGTGCAAAGGAGTGAAGTGATAGGGAAAAATCAAGTGCCAGAAGCATTACCTTCCAAAGGTAAGCAATCTTCTATCCAAAGGCGTCAAAAGAGAAAAGAAATCTCGTAACAGGGGTGAGCAGCAGTAGCGCTCCCCTTTGCCTATGCTTATGATTAGGTTATACCCGTCACCTTCCCGCCACCCGACCTCCGCTTCCCCGCCACCCCATCTCCCCTGCTCGCCGACCGATCTCCCGTGCTCGCCGCCCGAGCTCCCCTTCCCGCGGCCCGTTCTCCCATTTCTGCCGCCCGATATCCCCTTTTCGCCTCCTCTCGCCTCCCCGCGCGGCCTCCTCTCGCCTCCCCGCGCGGCCTCCTCTCGCCTCTCCGCGCGGCCTCCTCCCACCTCTCCGCCCGGCCTCCTCTCACCTCTCCGCGCGGCCTCCTCTATCCTCCCTTTGCCCTCGCTTCCCCCTCTCATCGCCATCGCTTCCCCCTCCCATCGCCCTCGCTTCCCCCTCCCATCGCCCTCGCTTCCCCCTCCCGTCGCCCTCGCTTCCCCCATCCGTCGCCCTCGCTTCCCCCTCCCATCGCCCTCGCTTCCCCCTCCCATCGCCCTCGCTACCCCCTCCCATCGCCCTCGCTTCCCCCTCCCATCGCCCTTGCTTCCCCCTCCCGTCGCCCTCGCTTCCACCTCCCCTCGCCCCGCCCATCGCCCTCGCTTCCCCCTCCCATCGCACTCGCTTCCCCCTCCCTTTGCCCTCGGTTCCCCCTCCCATCACCATCGCTTCCCCCTCCCATCGCCCTCGCTTCCCCCTCCCATCGCCCTTGCTTCCCCCTCCCATCGCCCTCGCTTCCCCCTCCCATCGCCCTCGCTTCCCCCTCCCATCGCCCTCGCTTCCCCCTCCCGTCGCCCTCGCTTCCACCTCCCCTCGCCCCGCCCATCGCCTTCGCTTCCCCCTCCCATCGCCCTCGCTTCCCCCTCCCGTTGCCCTCGCTTCCCCCGCCCATCGCTAGTTCACTTGCGCCATCTGTCAGTGTGGGGCAGCAGCATCACCAACGCCTCTGCGCCGCTGCTCCCCTTTCCCTCACTCCCACCATCCTCTTTCCACCCCCACCTCCCCCCCTTCCCCTGCAGTCGCTGGTTCACTTGCGCCATCTGTCCGTGTGGAGCAGCAGCATCACCAGCGCCTCTGCCTCGCTACTCCTCGCCTTCCCCCGCCTGCTCTCCGCCAACCTCGCCTGGACTGCCCTCTCCCACCGCCCACCCCTCCCTCACCGCCCTCCACCTCTCCCAGTGCCCCCTCCTTTCCATTGGCTTCCCTCTCCCCTCCTCCTCATCCTCTCCCTTCGCCTCCTCTCCTTCCTCCTCTCACTCCTCCTCCTTCTCTTCCTCCTTCTCCAGCACTCATCTGGTTATCTCTGGTGCCTCAATCGCTCCTCCCTCCTCCCTCTTCCCTCACCTCCTCGCCTCCCTCACTCACCTCAACCTCTCTACTGCTGCTGTCCCTGACGCCCTTCTGTTACACCTCGTCCACTCCCTTCCCCACACGGCACGTTAGCTCCTCACCACTCTCCCCCACACACCTTGATCTCTCTGGCTCACTCTGTTTCCCCTGCTCATTCTCTCCCCCCCGGCTCACTCTGTTTTCCCTGCTCATTCTCTTCCCCCGGGCTCATTTTGTTTCTTCCTGTTCACTCTATTTTCCGCTACTCAGTCTGTTCCCCTTTTCACTCACCCCCATTGCCAGCCGCGCAGGGTACATGTCCCAGTCCCAGCACCATGGCCCAGGGTTTATTGCATGCAGTGTAGCAGCCAAGAGTGGCCCAAAAATATTACATTTCTAGCTGTCTTGTTTGTCACGATAGTCAGTTGCCAAGTACTTCCTTTGTAGTGGTCATGTGCATGGCTGCTTCTGAGCAAAGTGTTTGTATTACCGTATTCTCCCGGACATAACACCCTAGGGTATAGCTAAAAATACAGGGAAAAAATGGGGGGGGTCTCATAGGAAAAAAATGCATAATACCCGGGTCTTTACATATGGCATATTTTAGTGTTAGTGTTTTTTTAATTAGTCAATGTGGGTGTTTTGCTGGTCCTTTTAGCATCACTGCCTGAGGCGCGAATGTGAGTTTCGGCCTCGAACTTCATCGCCCTCGCGAAAATGCCATGTGGCACCTCTCTTGCCACTTGCAACGGAAGATTCACCTGCACGTGGCAACAGAGAAATAGTGGGAGGGGGCAAATCTCGGCAGATTGCCTTTGGATGTACCGCGAAATTTCCTTGAGGGAGAAATTCACACGATATTCTTCCGTATTGCAGCTACTCGTTAACGACTATAATAATGAATATGTAAGAAAAGGGGGGTGTTATAGAAAATCAGCCAAAAAGGGGGGTATAGTAGAAACGAGGTCTATCATAACACCCACCCCGCACAAGCTACCCGGGGGTGTACAATTATGGGGGGGTGTTTTGTCCGGGAGTATACGGTATAACAAAGCATCCAACATCAATATACAGCATGGCCAATCATCATAGTACTATCAAGCAGTCAAAACATCACCACAACCAGATGGTTAGGAGACCTGTATACAAACACAAACCAAGAAATTAGATTTGACATGGCTGAACATCAGGGAAGTATACGGTACGTGATAATGATGAAGGACAAGCAGCCAACACGGGAAAGGATAACGCAAGGTCCCTCGATTTATGCTTACAGTTGAAGAGGGTTACAGAAGAAGGGATGAAAAGAGGAAGGGTGGAATAGAGGGAAAAACTGATGACGGGAGGAACGGCGGGGGAGAAGAACTGCACTCACCAGCACTGCACTCACCAGCACTGCACTCACCAACACTGCACTCACCAACACTGCACTCACCAGCACTGTGTTGGAAACAATCAAGCTTAAGCGCCTCTGTCGTGTCGAAACACTAAGACACAAGCGAAGCGAAGCATATCGAGGCACCAGCGAGTCAACCCTCGGAGGTTGAAGTAACTGCTGGAGGTTCCGCGAAAGTCAACGGTCAGCGACCTTTGACCTGACAAGTACAGCGCGACAGCAAGGACACACAACTGACTCGCTACAGAGCAGATGCCCGAGTCGTCACTGTATCGAACCGCAACAGCAACAGTAAAGTAGTTATAACTATATCTCTTCATATTCCTTGTAATCTTATATAATCCTGTATCTCTTTGCTTTAATCAACTTACTTTGCTCTCACATACTAGCGCAAGGTGGTTTACAACTCTTCATTAAACGCTTCCGCTACTACATCAGTCCTACCCAGAGTTCACCCCTGCAAAGATCCTAAGGGCTTTTCTCAGCCCAACACTGGTGAGTGCATTCTGTTTTCCCTGCTCATTCTCTTCCCCCGGGCTCACTTTGTTTCTTCCTGTTCACTCTATTTTCCGCTACTTAGTCTGTTCCCCTTTTCACTCACCCCCATTGCCAGCCGCGCAAGGTACATTTCCCAGTCCCAGCACCATGGCCCAGGGTTTATTGCATGCAGTGTAGCAGCCAAGAGTGGCCCAAAAATATTACATTTCTAGCTGTCTTGTTTGTCACGATAGTCAGTTGCCAAGTACTTCCTTTGTAGTGGTCATGTGCATAGCTGCTTCTGAGCAAAGTGTTTGTATTATAACAAAGCATCCAACATCAATATACAGCATGGCCAATCATCATAGTACTATCAAGCAGTCAAAACATCACCACAACCAGATGGTTAGGAGACCTGTATACAAACACAAACCAAGAAATTAGATTTGACATGGCTGAACATCAGGGAAGTATACGGTACGTGATAATGATGAAGGACAAGCAGCCAACACGGGAAAGGATAACGCAAGGTCCCTCGATTTATGCTTACAGTTGAAGAGGGTTACAGAAGAAGGGATGAAAAGAGGAAGGGTGGAATAGAGGGAAAAACTGATGACGGGAGGAACGGCGGGGGAGAAGAACTGCACTCACCAGCACTGCACTCACCAGCACTGCACTCACCAACACTGCACTCACCAACACTGCACTCACCAGCACTGTGTTGGAAACAATCAAGCTTAAGCGCCTCTGTCGTGTCGAAACACTAAGACACAAGCGAAGCGAAGCATATCGAGGCACCAGCGAGTCAACCCTCGGAGGTTGAAGTAACTGCTGGAGGTTCCGCGAAAGTCAACGGTCAGCGACCTTTGACCTGACAAGTACAGCGCGACAGCAAGGACACACAACTGACTCGCTACAGAGCAGATGCCCGAGTCGTCACTGTATCGAACCGCAACAGCAACAGTAAAGTAGTTATAACTATATCTCTTCATATTCCTTGTAATCTTATATAATCCTGTATCTCTTTGCTTTAATCAACTTACTTTGCTCTCACATACTAGCGCAAGGTGGTTTACAACTCTTCATTAAACGCTTCCGCTACTACATCAGTCCTACCCAGAGTTCACCCCTGCAAAGATCCTAAGGGCTTTTCTCAGCCCAACAGGGTATGAGAGCAGTCAGGTAGAATTCAACTTCCATTAAGATACCGACAACGTTAACATGCATGGCTACACAAAAGGAAAGGAGCTCCTCCAACGGCTCCCAGGGCACTACTCCTACTCCACCTACTGCCTTTGGCCTACAGACAGAGGAGGGTACGGCAACAAGACCCAGGGCAACATCCACCGATACTCCTGCGAATCAACCTGCAGACTTTTACCACCAGCAACACCAGCAACACCAGCAATCGGCACATGCGCAGTCACACAATAGCAACAACAACGGAGCAACTCCTATGAGTCTCGACAGCTCATCATACGCACGAGGAAATCAACAGCAGCAGCCTACCTTTGCTCCGTACGAGCGCGGGTCCATCAGCTTTATGCCACACCCGCAGCCTTCACCTGGACAAGAAAAGTCACTGGACGCATTACAAGTTCAGTCGTAGTTCGCGCACGTTCTGAAGATGCAGACGTCAAGACCTTTCTATGGAAATGATTTCTTCACCTGGTCGTTTGAATTCGAGTTGATCATGGAAGGCGCGCAGATACTTGGCTTTTTCGACGGGTCCCTGCCATACCCAATGAACGGCACACAGTATGAGAAGCAGCAGTACACCTATCAGTCGATGATGGCGTACACGATCCTACTGAGGAACATCACCCCAACTCAACAGCAGAAGATACGGTCTTACCGGGGTTATGGCAACTCCACGGAGCTCGCATACAATCACTTGAAGAACCTGTATCAAGCAACAGACAGCGTAAATCAAAGTCGGTTAATGGCGCAACTAACAACGGTCGAAATGAAACCAGGCGAGAAAGGAATGGCGTATATCAGCCGATGTCGCGAGCTTCGCGACAAACTCCTTCGATGCGGAGGGTCGACATCTGAAGACGCCTTCGTGACAGTTATCATTGGCGGCCTCGGTCCTCAATGGCGCGCCACAAAGGCCATTCTCCGAGCCCACGGAAGAATCTCCGAAGCAGCGCTCTGCGCCGAAATCCACGCCGAGCAGCAAGACATGGATCTGCAAGAAGAGCGACACAGGAAGAAGACATCAGCACCGGAATTCGCATTTCACACTCAGCGATGCTACAACAACAACAAACAACAACAACCGAAGCCCGTACCTCCGTTCTGCCACATCTGCAAGACGTCAGGGCACCCGCGCACGCACTGCCCAAATCGACAACAGTCAACGGCTCCACAGCGGCAGCTTCGACCTTCAAGCAACCAAGTCGCCTCAACACAAGCAAATCCCACGACCCAGACTCAAGCCTCAATAACCTCAACAGGACAACCTGCACAAGGAGCAAGGAACATCGTCAGTTGCATGGCAAGACTGAGCGACTCCTGCATCACGGAATCACCACCGTACTACTCACCGGAAGAACAACTCGACGACACCACACCACACCGCGATTCACTTCAGCCGAACCCGACATACACAGCCATCGCCCAAAGCGAGCCATCCGGGAAGGACACGTGGTTCTTGGACAGTTGCTGCGGACAGCACATGTGTTATTCAGGACGCTTCGTGCAACGAGAGTACCAACTCCAACGCGAAGTAATCATCACCGTCGCCAACAACGAAAACCTGCGCACACAACGAGAAGGAGTCGTTCAACTTATGTCATGAGAAACAAACGTCATACTACAAATGTCCAAGGTCTTAATCGCAGAAGGCCTCGGCTACAACTTACTCAGCGCTAGCCAACTGATTGCTAAAGGTATCCACCTTGAAGCAGACAGCACCACTCAGGAGTTCAAGCTGTACCACGGGAAGGGCGGCCTCTACATCGGAAAGGCGATCATGAAAAATAACGTCTTCGTTCTTGATTTTGTTCCAGATCTCGGCACAGCAGACAGCGACGGCATCGTCACCTTCACTTCCTGGACCCACCCTCCAGATCTTGATCCAGACTCCAGCCCCGGCGGCTTCTAGCATTCACACACCATCCCTGAGGCAGAAAGAACAAGGGCGTTAGCAACAATTCAACACTCGGCAGCAGCAGAGACAACAGCAGAAACAACATCGGCAACAGCAGAGACAATAGCAGAGACAACATCGGCAGCAGCAGAGACAACAACGGCAGCAGCAGGAACGTCAACACCAGTCGCTGGTCCTTCAACGGCACCACTCCTCGTTGATGACACACCATCGACACTCGCGCAACAACTGCACCCAACACCACGAGAAGTTCATCGAAGCGCCAACTTCACCGCCAGCTTCTATTCCAACTCCGACATGTATCGGCGCTCACCCGGACATCGTGCAGCCGAAGGAACCTGGCACGCAAGAATGGGACACCCAAGCAACACAGTATTAAACAACACGATAAGAGCAGGCGTGCTGGATAAAGACTCTCTACTCCTAACAGACGGCAGAGAACTTCAGCGAGCCCGTGGAACATGCCTCACCTGTCCCGAAGCTGACTTATCGCATCAACCGTTCACGTCTCACCACAACCCAAGTGCACCAGCTTACGCGCCACTCGAGAAAGTGTACAGCGACATCTTGTACAACCGCGAGCCTGGACAAAACGCGTACAACTACACCATCACCTTCATCGACGCCGCCACACGATATGTCTGGCATCTAAACCTTCCGAGCAAAGACATGGCTTTCGAAGCCTTCGTCGCGTGGCTCCTAGTAGCAGAACGAGAATCGGGCGTCAAACTGAAGAGCTTCCAGTCAGACGGGGGAGGAGAATACACATCACAGAGGTTCAAGCAATACTTGGCTGAAAGGGGAATCAAGCGGCTCATCTCCCTTCCCTACGCCCATCAACAGCAGGGTGTAGCAGAAAGAATAAACAGGACCCTCCAGAACACCATGCGCAAGCTGCTACGTGGCATGCACCTGCCCAACCACTAGTGGCCCGAAGCAATGGACCACGCAGTCATGCTGCACAACTTGCTCTCGTCATCATCGCTCCCGAACAACGCATCACCACACCTGCTGTGGACAGGAAAAGTGGGCAGCACAAAAATGTTACGAGTCTTCGGCTGCATGGTACAGTACCGGCCTCCATCTGCACGAGCTGGCCGATTCTCACAACGCGCACAGTGGGGACTACACCTGGGCATAAAAAAACACTACAACGCATGGAAGATTTTCGACGTCGAGACAAAGGAAACAGAAGCAGCACGTGATGTCATTTTCTACGAAAACCTTGTCAAGAATAATATATATTTCTATATATTGTTTTGTAACTGCCTGTAGTGTAGACTAGTGTAGTTATATAATGTTCTGTTTTGGTGGTGCACCTTTCATCTTGCCTATATGTACTGCTCGCTCTATAGTGAAAACCCTTCTTCTCTTTTCAATACTCTCGACTCTACTCAACTTACTCGAACTCAACTAGCTATGGCTCCTTTAGCCTAGCTAAGCTTCTGACATGGTACAGAGCACGTAACGCTCCTGGACTCCTGCTTCCGCTGCTACTAAGTGTTCTGCACGCCCCGTGGTGTGCCCTACTCTCGCGGCCCCGCCGCCCTTCTTAAGCGGACCCGCCGCCCTACTGTCGCGGCCTCGCCGCCTCTCTACTGTCGCGGCCCCGCCGCCCTACGCCGCGGTCTCGCCGCCCTTCACTGCGGCCTCGCCGCCCGTGCGCCGACGTCTGCGAAGCCGCCGCCCGTGAGCCGCCGCCCGTGAGCCGCCAGTGGCCCGCCCGTGCGCCGACCGCCTGTGCGCCGCCCGTCCGTGAGCCGACGCCACCCGCGCGCAGCCCGACCGTGAGCCGGCGCCGCCCGTGAGCCGCCCGCCCGTGCGCCACCAGCCTGCCCGTGAGCCGCTGGCGCCGCCCGTGCGCCGCCCGTCCGTGAGCCGCCCGCCCGTGCGCCGCCCGCCCGTGAGCCGCCCGCCCGTGAGCCGGCGCCACCCGTGGGCCGCCCGCCCGTGCGCCGCCCGCCCGTGAGCCGCCGCCTCTGAGCCGCCCGTCCGCGAGCCACCCGCCTGCCCGTGAGCCGCCCGTCTCCTACACCTGCGGTCCCGACCCCGTCCCGGCCATGCCTCGTCACCAGCTACGGCACACCGGGGGCACGTGCACCCCCCCCCCCCCTTCTTCCCGTCACCTGTCGCGGCTCCTTCGGGGGCCGCACGCGGCCCCCTCAGGTCGCCTTGACAGGTGACGGGAGGGGTGACCTGAAAGGGGGGGGCAGTCGTCGCCCCCTCTGCCGCTTGCTTTGGCGCCCGGGGAGGCCGTGCGTCGCCCCCCCCCCCCCCCCCCCCTCTTCTCCTCCTCCTTTTGTTCCCTCTGCTGCAGCTGCCGCTGGGGGGGAGGGTGTGGGAGTGTGGGGGAGCCCGGGGAGGGACTGGGGGTGGCGGGTGTGGGGGTGATGGGTGATGTGTGGTCCCCTGGCCCTACGGCCCCATTCTCCTCCGTTTACCCCCCCCCCCCCCCCCCTCTGCTGCTCCTGCAGCAGTGTGAGGGGGATGGGGAGGGGGAGAGGGAGGTTGAGGGGATGTAGGGGGTGACCAACCAGAGCCTACCACCTCCTCTCCTCTCTCTCTCCTCTCTCCCTTCTGTTCTCTGTTTTCTGCACTGGTTGTCACTGCTCCTGCCTACTGCTGCTACTTCAACTGCACTCAGCTTGGTGTACCCCATTATGGGGGCGTTGACTGCATATTCTTCCCTACAGGCACTTATGGGGGCGTGTCAAGAATAATATATATTTCTATATATTGTTTTGTAACTGCCTGTAGTGTAGACTAGTGTAGTTATATAATGTTCTGTTTTGGTGGTGCACCTTTCATCTATAGTGAAAACCCTTCTTCTCTTTTCAATACTCTCGACTCTACTCAACTTACTCGAACTCAACTAGCTATGGCTCCTTTAGCCTAGCTAAGCTTCTGACAAACCTCACCCTCCGGTATTACCTTGCCAACTTGCAAGAAGAAAACCCCGATCGCTCCGATGGTTTTCAAGGCACCCGAGCCTTCGCCTCGGCAGATGACGAAGCTGACTGGGACGAGGAGAACGTGGAAGGAGCCTCGGAAGAAGCCGGACCCCTCCCCTACTGCTCCGTCGACGTGCCAATGGACGACAAAAACCCACGCGAAAGCATCAACGTGTCAGAACATTATAGCTTATGCTGTTGTGTAGGCTATAGTGGGGTATCCCATAGGGGGTACAACCCATTTAGGGTTTCCTATATGTACTCACTTCATTCATAGTTGATGCATTTCTCGTTCTCATTCTCACATGGAATCAGAGCAGGTCCCCTCCTAGGGACTGTTCCTTGGGCCCACCGAAGCGCGCCTCGAGTCGCGCCTGCCTTTTTTTTTAGCGGCCCGTCGAGTCGCACCTAGCGGCCCGTCGCGCCGCCCTTACGGTCGCGTCGAGCCGCCCTAGCGGCTGCGGCGCGCCGCCTTTTTCCCGGCCCGTCGCCGCCCTTACCCGCGGCTTTGCGCCGCCCTCACCGGCGGCTTCGCGCCGCCCCTACCTGCGGCCTCGCGTCGCCCTGGCCCGTCGCCGCCCTTCCCACGGCTTCGCACCACCTCTACCTGCGGCTTCGAGCCGCCCCGGCCCGTCGCCGCCCTTACCTGCGGCTTCGCGCCGCCCCGGCCCGTCGCCGCCCTTACCCGCGGCTTCGCGCCACCCTTGCACCGGCTCGTCGCCGCCCTTACCTACGGCCCGTCGCCGCCCTACCTATGGCCCGTCGCCGCCCTTACCTACGGCTCGCACCCGCCGCCCTACCTGCGGCCACCTGCCGCCCTACGTGCGGCCCCACCCGCCGCCCTACCTGCGACGCACCTGCAGCCCTACCTGCGGCTCACCCGACGCCCTACCTACGACAGCCGCGCCGCCCTGATCCAGCGTCGCCGTGTCGCCCTGCACGAGAGCCGCCCTGCCGCCGAGCCGCCAGGAAGCCGAGCCGCCCTACCGCCGAGCCGCCATGCCGCCGAGCCGCCCTGCCACCGAGCCGCCCTGCCGCCGAGCCGCCCTGCCGCCGAGCCGCCTTGCCGCCGAGCCGCCCGGAAGCCGAGCCGCCCTGCCACCGAGCCGCCCAGCAGCTGGACCGTCAGAGCTGCCCTGTCTGGTGAGCACAGTGCCTTCTCCCCCTGCACGGCCCTCCCTCCCCTACTGTTTACACTGCTCGTCATCTGTAGTCATAACTACCCCTAGTGTCCTCACGTTTGACACTGAGGGACGCGCCGTAGACTTTGAGGTCTGGGTCAACGACCTGCAGCTGTTCTTACAGTGCGATAGGGCAGACGATCTCTCTCTCTTTGACCTTACCTCTGGCGCTTCCCCTGCCCCTGCTGCTAATGCTGACGCCACTGTTCGCTCCCAGTGGGCCACGCGCGACGCTGCTGCACGTCTTGCTGTGCGTCGCCACCTCCCTACCTCCGAGCGTGCGCACTTTAACCATCACAAGAGTGCTCAGACCTTGTACGACGCTGTAGTCGCGCGCTACTCCTCCCCTGCCACTGCTGCACTGAGCCGTCTCATGCTGCCGTACCTCTTCCCTGACCTTGCTGCTTTTCTCACCGTAGCTGACCTCATCACGCACCTCCGCACTAGTGACACTCGCTACCGCGCTGCACTCCCTGCTGACTTCTGCGCCGCGAACCCCCCCCCCATGTACATCACTCAGTACTTCCTAGTCACTCGCCTCCCTAACTCCCTTCGCGTAGTCAGGGACCACTTTCTCTCAGTCTGTCCCACCACGCTCACCGTAGACCTCCTCGAAAAGGCCCTCCTAGCGATAGAGAAGAGCATCGTTGCTGTAGGAGCCTCTCGAGGTGACCCGCGCACCCCCATCTTTGAGGGGTGTTCTCCCTCCCCCCTGCTGCCCTCTGTTGCCTCTGCTGCTGCGGCCGACCTCCTTGGTCTTGAGTCGGTCGGCGCGGCGTCTGCCCCTAGCGAGAGACGCCGCCCTGGCAAGGGCAAGGGGGGCAAGGGAGTTGGAGGAGCGGGCGGTGGAGGTGGAGGTGGAGGCGGTGGGGGGAGTGGGGGTGGCGGTGGGAGTGGAGGTGGGGGTGGAGGGGTACTACGTGTGGAGGTGCTCCACCTGGAGGTTCTCAGGGTGCTTCGTCTCGCCAGGAGCCACTCTCTCCACAGGAGCTGCGCGAGTGGTTTGCCCGGCACTGGCGTCGTGGTGTTGGTGCTGGAGGTTCTTTGGCTGCTGAGGGTGCTGCGGTCGCGGGTCCCAGAGGTGCTCATACTAGTAGTACTGGAGCTGCTGGGCCGGCATTGACTGGAGCTGGTGCTGCTGCGGGTGTTGGCGCTGAGACTGCCGCTGGCGGTCCTGCTGGAGGTGCTCTTGGTGCTGCTGGAGGTTCTGGAGCTGCTGGAGGTGCTGCTGGAGCAGGTGCTCCTACTGAGGGTACTGGTGCTGTCCTTGCTGCTTCTGGCGTCGCCACACGGCCTCGACCGTACTACGTTCCACTCCTGCAGCAGGTTCTTGGTCTTCCACCTTCTACTGGTACTCCTCCTCCCTTAGAGTGTCCGCAGCCTGTCCAGCCACAGTTACAGCTGCAGCCTACCTCCCCTTTGCCTGCTCCTTCTCCCTACACTGGTCCTACTGGAGGTCTTGCTGAGCGTCGTGAGCCTGCGTCTCGCCCTACGTCGCCTGTCCGTCCTGCTAGCGCTAGTGGTCGTAGTTCCCGTGAGCGTCCTCCTCCTGTCCCTGGCACGCACCGGATGTCTCTGCGTCCGTCCACTGCTCCTCTGCGTGCCCCTTTGCCTTCTCCTCCTAAGTCCTCTCTTCTTGCTCTTCCCGACCCGGAGTCGGACTCTCTTCGTGCTGCCAGTCCTACTATCACGCGTCTCCTTGCTACTGTCGTCGCTGACCCTTCTTTTGAGTCGACTGCTGCGTCTGCTCTAGTTGCTGAGCTCGTCGACTTTGCTGCTCGCTGTCGCTTAGACTACGCTGCGAGTCTTGTCGCTCAGTCTGAGTCAGTCTGTCCTCCGTCCGTCGGGGGTGAGTGTGCCCTTGGCACGGACGTCCTTGAGGACATGCAGGAGGAGTTCCAGTGTCTGGCACCTGCTTCACCTCATCTCGTGTCTGTACTGCTTACCCCTGAGGGAGACCCGGATGCACTTGACATCCCGACTCCGCGCTCTTACGCGGAGGCGATAGAGGGTCCCTACTCCTCTTAGTGGCAGGCAGCTATGGATGCAGAGATGGCTTCCTGTAAGTCCACAGGCACCTACGTTGACGCTGTCCCCCCTCCTCGGGCGAACATCGTTAGTGGCATGTGGATCTTCAGGGTGAAGCGGCCGCCGGGCTCTCCGCCTGTCTTCAAGGCGCGTTACGTTGCTCGTGGCTTCAGTCAGCGGCAGGGAGTTGACTACTTTCAGACCTTCTCCCCCACCCCGAAGATGACCACTCTTCGGGTACTGCTGCACGTTGCTGCTCACCGTGACTACGAGCTGCACTCTCTCGACTTCAGCACAGCTTTCTTGCAGAGCAGCCTGCACGAGGAGATCTGGCTGCGTCGCCCACCTGGCTTCACTTGGTCTTTCCCTCCTGGTACCCAGTGGAGTCTCGGGCGTCCAGTCTACGGTCTCCGCCAGGCGCCACGTGAGTGGCACGACACACTGAGGACTACGCTTGCGGCTCTTGGGTTTGCTCCTTCTACTGCTGACCCGTCGCTGTTTCTGGGCACCGACACCTCTCTGCCGCCGTTCTACATCCTCGTGTACGTCGACGACTTGGTCTTCGCCACAGCTGACACTGCTAGACTCGTCTACGTGAAGTCCGAGCTGCAGAAGAGACACACGTGCACAGACCTGGGTGAACTGCGCAGCTACCTTGGCTTGTAGATCACCCGGGATACAGCACGCCGCACCATTACCCTAACTCAGTCACACATGGTGCAGCAGGTCCTTCAGCGCTTCGGCTTCACGTACTCCTCGCCTCAAGCCACTCCTCTGCCTACTCGCCACTCGCTCTCAGCTCTGTCTTCGGATGAGTCCGTAGAGTCAAGTGGCCCGTACCCAGAGCTTGTTGGCTGCCTCATGTACCTGATGACCTGCACACGACCTGACCTTGCATACCCTCTTAGCATCTTGGCATGCTATGTTGCTCCTGGGAGACACAGACCGGAGCACATGGCTGCAGCGAAGAGGGTGTTGCGCTACTTGTGCAGTACGTCGGGCATGGGGCTAGTGCTTGGAGGGTGGAGTCCAGTGGTTCTTACTGGGCATGCGGACGCTTCTTGGGCTGACGACCAGGCTACGCAGCGGTCGTCACAGGGTTACACATTCAGCCTTGGTTCCGGCTCTGTTTCGTGGCGGGCTACTCGCTCGTCTTCTGTTCTCGGCTCCACTTGTGAGGCTGAGATTGTGAAAGGAATGAACAGGAATGAATTGACTAAGTCAGAGTTGGGTACAAATACAACCCTAGCAAACTGTACCCCATATGTGCTACCCCACTATGGCCTACAAACATGCATCAGCTATAATAATCTGACACACCCCCATAGGCAAAGTGGGGGAGAACAAGGGGTCACAAGACCAGTCAAGCAAAGCAAAGCAAGCTCAGGGTGGATCACAAAGTCACCACACAGTCCGAGCACAAGAGCAAGGCCAGAGGCCAGTGCACATGCAGGAGTACAGACATATATATAAAACTAGACAAGCAAGAGCAGGTATATATATGTCAAAGTACAAGTAAAGTCAAGAAGAGAGCAAGTGAGGCAAGACAGGTACAAGACCCAGCTGGGTACAAAAGCGCTGATGGTCGCAAGGCGCAAGTGCCTTGGTGAACACATCAGCAGTGTTGGCCTCAGAGGCCACGTAAGCAAGTCGCAACTGACCACGCTGCTGCAGCTCACGAGCAAGGAAGTAGCGGAGAGCAATGTGCTTCGTTCTGTGCTCCAAGCGCTGCTCTCGACACAAGGCCAACATGGCCTTGTTGTCTACGTACAGCACTGGAGGAGAACGAGGCAGCTCTCCAAGGTCAGTCAGCAGGTAGGTGAGCCAGCGAAGCTCCTGTGCAGCCATGGCCCCGGCGTAGATCTCAGCCTCACAACTGGAGCCGAGAACCGAAGACGAGCGAGTAGACCGCCACGAGACAGAGCCGGAACCAAGGCTGAAGGTGTAACCCTGTGACGACCGCTGCGTAGCCTGGTCGTCAGCCCAAGAAGCGTCTGCGTGCCCAGTAAGGACCACTGGACTCCGCCCTCCAAGCACTAGCCCCATGCCCGACGTACTGCACAGGTAGCGCAATACCCTCTTCGCTGCAGCCATGTGCTCTGGTCGGTGTCTCCCAGGAGCAACATAGCGTGCAAGGATGCTCAGAGGGTATGCAAGGTCAGGTCGTGTGCAGGTCATCAGGTACATGAGGCAGCCAACAAGCTCTGCATACGGACCACTCGACTCTACGGACTCATCCGAAGGCAGAGCTGAGAGTGAGTGGCGAGTAGGCAGAGGAGTGGCCTGAGGCGAGGAGTACGTGAAGCCGAAGCGCTGAAGGACCTGCTGCACCATGTGTGACTGAGTCAGGGTAATGGTGCGGCGTGCTCTGTCCCGGGTGATCTGCAAGCCAAGGTAGCTGCGCAGTTCACCCAGGTCTGTGCACGTGTGTCTCTTCAGCAGCTCGGACTTCACGTAGGCGAGTCCAGCAGTGTCCGCTGTGGCAAAGACCAAGTCGTCGACGTACACGAGGATGTAGAACGGCGGCAGGGAAGTGTCGGTGCGAAGAAACAGCGACGGGTCAGCAGTAGAAGGAGCAAACCCAAGAGCCGCAAGCGTAGTCCTCAGTGTGTCGTGCCACTCACGCGGTGCCTGGCGGAGACCGTAGACTGGCCGTCGGAGGCTCCACTGGGTGCCAGGAGGGAAAGTCCCAGTGAAGCCAGGCGGACGGCGCAGCAAAATCTCCTCGTGCAGGCTACCCTGCAGGAACGCAGTGCTGAAGTCGAGAGAGTGAAGCTCGTAGTCGCGCTGAGCGGCAATGTGCAGCAGCACCCGAAGAGTGGTCATCTTCGGGGTGGGAGAGAAGGTCTGAAAGTAGTCAACTCCCTGCCGCTGACTGAAGCCACGAGCCACGTAACGCGCCTTGAAGACAGGCGGCGAGCCCGGCGGCCGCTTCACCCTGAAGATCCACATGCCACTGACGATGTTCGCCCCAGGAGGGGGAACCGCGTCAACGTAGGTGCCTGTGGACTTCCAGGAAGCCATCTCTGCATCCATAGCTGCCTGCCACTGAGAGGAGTAGGGACCCTCTACGGCCTCCGCGTAAGAACGCGGAGTCGGGATGTCTAGTGCATCCGGGTCTCCCTCAGGGGCTAGCAGTACAGACGCGAGACGAGGTGAAGCAGCGGCTAGACACTGGAACTCCTCCTGCCTGTCCTCTAGGACGTCCGTGCCAAGGGCACACTCACCCCCGACGGACGGAGGACAGGCGGACTCTGACTCAGCGACAAGACGAGCAGCGTAGTCTAGACGACAGCGCGCAGCAAAGTCGACAAGCTCAGTGACAAGGGCAGACGCAGCAGACGACTCGAAGGAAGGGTCAGTGACAGCAGTAGCAAGGAGACGCGTGACAGTAGGACTGGCAGCACGAAGAGAGTCCGACTCCGGGTCGGCAAGAGCAGGAAGAGAGGAAGCAGGAGGAGAAGGCAAAGGGGCACGCAGAGGAGCAGTGGACGGACGCAGTGACATCCGGTGCGTGCCAGGGACAGGAGGAGGACGCTGACGCGACCCGCGACCACTAGCGCGCTCAGTACGAACAGGCGACGCAGGACGAGACGCAGGCTCACGACGCTCAGTAAGGCCTCCAGTCGGACCAGCGTAGGGAGAAGGAGCAGGCAAAGGGGAGGCAGGCTGTAGCTGTGGCTGTGACCGGACAGACTGCGGACCCTCTAAGGGAGGAGGAGGAGGAGCAAGACCAAGAACCTGCTCCAGGAGCGGAACGAAGTACGGTCGAGACCGCGCGGCGACGCCAGAAACAGCAGGGACAACACCAGTACCCCCAGCAGGAGTACCCGCTCCAGCAGCACCTCCAGCAGCACCTCCAAAGTCAGAGCCAAAGCTTCTCCGAAGCTGAAGACGAGCTGCGCGGATCCAGTCGATCAACACCTGAGTGACCTCACCCTTGCTGCGCAAGGGGAAGACTGTGGTGTAACGCGAGTAGTCGTCAACCACCAGCAGGAAGTAGCGCTCCTGACCCTGTCCACGGACGCGGGCTGGGCCCCACACGTCCATGTGAAGCGTCTGCAACGGGGCCTCTGTCGGAGGAAACTGGGAGGAGTGAGGGGCAGCACGCTGGCGCCCCTCGACACAGGGGACACAGGCAGGGCCAGGGCCCGGAGGAAGGGGAGGGAGGGACCGGGGAAGACCAGACACAAGGACCCGCGAGGCCATGCCTCTGAGCCGAAGCAGAGAGGGGTGGCCAAGGCGGTGGTGCCAGAGGAGGGTCTCGTGAGACAGACGACGACACGAACAAGGGGCAGACTCAGGACCAGACCTGGACGCTGCAGCAAACACCTGACCAGACGAAGGGGCCCTACCAGACGCAGTACCTGGAGGAGAAGCAGTGGTCAGTGTGTACAGGCTCGACCCCGGCCGGCGTGTAAACGTAGCCAGGTGGCGACCTGTATCC